GCATGTTTTCGCTCTGGAAAGATAAATCGATTCTGGGGCGAGAGGAAACAAAACTCGATCGACATCTGTTCTTGAGCTCCAGAAGAAAATCCTATTTTCACTCCTGTCGGGGAATTCGCGCGAGAACAAACGTGAATTTTTGGTGGGTGCCTGTCTTCTAAAAGGAACTCACAAAAAGGTTTCAAAGGGAAAAGAGCGCTATGAACTCGCAAATGGTCCCAAGATGCTTCGATTGTTAGCGACTCGTTGGGGGCAGGCAGTGTCAGATAAGATTTGTGCCATTGTCTGGGATGATTCCTTGTGGAGTCAATTTCGCAGCTCTTTCTCGCACTTCTTTTTTCTGCGCCTAAATTCTTTGTCGGTGCGCCGTCCACCCGTGCACAGTTGACGTTTGATGGTCACTGGTGCTCCTGGTGCTGTTGACGCCCTCAAACGAAAGACGGACCGATGTACGGACGGGCGAACGGACGAGCGCACGGAGCGATTACGGGGCCGTTCGATCCGAGATCCTCCCACTCCAAACAGAACGTTTAGATTTTTGTTATTTGCCAGGCGACGTCTCGAAGCCTAAGTGATGTCGTCCCGAGTCCTGGGTATCGAAATCCATACAAGGCTTCGTCTAAATCGGTTTTCGTGTCAAATCTTCGTCGCGGTCGGCCGGTAGGTCTGCCGACTAGCCAGCCGGTCGGTCGGGCGACCGACCGACTCCTGACGCCGAAACGTCATCCGTCATTCAAGACGAGAATTTGTTGTCGTTTTCGGTGCCCGCAGACAGTCGATTTCGGCCGTGCGTCGTCAGCCACTGAAATGTACAACTGACTGAGCTCTCATTCTCGACGAAGTGGATTTCTCGAGCATTTCTTGCACCAGCGCGCAGCGTGGGAGAGCCAGAATTACGGGCAAGAGTTCGCATCCGCCACCGGGTAGGCTATGAGACACCCACGGTGAAACGCCAGTATTACCGCTGGCAGCCACCAGAAACGTAGATGAGTACGAGAGAGACAAGTCGGCGGCTTATTCACAAAAATCAACAACTTTCATACGCCGGCCCGGCGGTGTGAGCACAGCAGCGTACCAGGATGTGGAGGAAGTTGGCCGTAAAACGGGCTTTCGAACATTTCAGAATCAGCAAGTACTATAACCCATAAAACCACCATCTGCGAACACGTTGTCGATGGCCTACGAATGCCTTCCTGGATCGGCTCCTGTAATTTTCGGGAGCAAACCTACCTCCGCATTAATCGTAGAGGTACCGATCTGACGCTGGCCTCTAATTCAGCTTTGCATGAATGTAGGTCGTCAAATGTGGAATATTCGCGAATCTTAAATAATGTTGGAATAATTCTAGTGGAATCGAGGTCTTCGAAGGAGAGTTTCCCCATGTTTTACGTCGAAGGGTTTCGCAGTCTCAAGTCCCTTGCGCATCAGGTACCAGCGTTGTCTCTGTTTGTACTTTGACTTCGGTGGCCCGGACGAACGAAGTTTATTACAATTTCTCTTTCGGAGCCAGGTTTTTGTTTCTCCATTCCACTGGGAGCAAGGAAGAAAAACACGAAAAAAGAAACTACAAATAACTTAGCCGACTTACTTAGCCAAGCATGTAACTACATGTTTTTGTTAAGTTCATGGGAACGACTGCTTGGGCTGGGCGTTTAGCGCCGCCTGGGAATATTTCCCACCATTCCGGCGCAAACGCCGGCGTAGACAACGACGATGAAGAAGAACGGCTACGACCAACATTGCTCTTGCTCCACTGAAAGAAGGCATTTACCCTTTTTTTCCTGACTTCTATTCTCTTTGTTAGGCAGGCGATGCGCTCGCTCCGTCAAATCTCTTCGCTAAACTCGCTTGTCATAAATTGAATTATCATGGTCCGCAGCTCACCATCCATCCCTTCTTGTCTATTCGCTGGACTCATGCCGTCTGTTCTCGCGACGAACGTTGCTTCCAGACGCCGTACAGGCGACGTCGCTGAAGGGATGCCAATCAATCCAGAACTTAAGGGAACGTCTCGCACGCATACCCGCGCGTGATTGGGCCCAGAATCCCAGATATCCGCCTCTGAGTCCTCCCGAACGAAGATTCCCCACCGCATCGATCCGAGTTCATCGAAGACTTCATTGGTAGTAGAGGGATCTTGAGACAGCGGAATTCATGTATTTTCGACTTGATGTCATGTCGCCGACGATCACGGCGTTGATGCCGTCGGCTGACTCGGTGACTTGCAGGGAGCAGCGATAAATCTTCTCACCGTTAGTCACTTTGCTAATGGCGCATTGTTTGTCCCCGAGCCTAACAGCTCTCGCGACGACCCGACTGAATTCACTGAGCGATCATATACTATGTCCGTACAGTTTTCCCAGCACGGGATCAAGCAGCCATTCTGTCCGACGCGTACAATGCTCCGTTTTGTGAAGCCACCGGAACATATCAAGTAAATTGCGCGCGCATAGTACCCTCTCATACGTCTATCCTCGAAACAAGCCGCTGACAAACTCACGAACAATCAGAGACAGGGCTCACACGGAGTATTTTCATACGAGACACGTGTGTTTGTGCGCGCCGCCAGATGCAAATTCGGGTTAAGGGTTATGGTGAGCCCGCCGGATATGACCATGTCGCCGCCAATATCCATGTCTATCGATCGGTGCCTTAATGCGCGCTCGCTCACTTGCCTGCCCAGCTCCGACTCGCTGCCGTGTACTTAAGTCGAAGTTCAAAACGAGAATTTTTTGCTGCAGCACCTATTCGATGATAGACGATCCGATGTCTAATTTTCATAGAAAACCCGTTAACCCCAGCCTTGCCGACCCGATGGGCTCTCCGGCTCAGTGGCTTTTATTTGCCTCTTGAATAGCCGACGCGGCAGCATCGCTTGTCGATAAGTTGTTTGTGTGCGCGACGTCGTTGCTTGGAGCGGTCCGAGAGGTCATGAATTGTGTTTTGTGTGAATTGATCTGAAAGAGACATCGATCTCAGAGGCAAGCAGCCAGCCCCGGGCCTCAGCTTCGACTTGGACTAATTTAGGCCAAACGTCAACTCGCTTATAGATATCGAAATCGGAACTTCCGGATAAGCGAAATGATCCGATGAGGCCTGAAACGAGATCGACGCTCGGACGTCTCCGTGTCGAACGATCGCCCCGATATGCTCCGGATCGGATATTTTCGTCGAATTCGGGTCTCGAAAGACTTTTCCGAAATTTCGGCTGATCGACAACGTCGTGAGAACCGGTGGCTTAGCGAAACATGCACACACACAAACAATGAGAAACTTGATGGCTAAGTCAAAAGAGGACATAAAGGTACTTTCCTCCTTCTTTGCGAAGAAATGAATGAACATTTTACAAATGGCGTCGTTTCGATCTCGTTGCTAGTACCGGTGCTGATTTTGTTCCCACAAGCGGCAAGCGAGAACACCCACGAAAAACGAACAGGGGGGAGTCATCGCCACAAAAAACCCAGCGCTCGAGCATTCTCATGACTTCGAGTGCTGCTGGAGCAGAAGTTGAAGCGGCAGACGAAGAAAAAAGGAAGGCAGACGACGGAGAACTGCTAGCTCGCTGGATCGCTCGCTCGACTCAAGAGTCCTGGGAAAAACAACGGCAACAACAACAACGAGCGTTTGACGTTTTTTCTTTTTCTGTTGCTCATCACAGCGGATCCCATATCTCATTGAAGCGGCGAGACTATCTACTCCGCTCTTCCACCCTTTACCACAAGCCAACCCATCGGGAAGATGTCGTCCTGCCTTGAGGGATGAGTTTCAATCTCACTGATAGAGACAGTTTCTACTCTACAAGATCGATGAGGATAGAGACAGCATACCAGGCTTCGGATAGGTCGATGCTGCCTACTTCGGCGAAGGAGTCGGACTCGGCTGAGCATGAGAAGAGATTCACTAATCGGAAGAACAAGCAAATCCTAGCGTATTCCCTCGTGCTTCTGGAGCCTCTTTTTCAGAAATTCCGAATCGTTTTACACCTCGGCGAATACGAGTGCCACACGCAGAGCGCGAGAAAGTAGTGAAGGAGCCGATCGTAAAGGCTAAACGAAAAGAAAGTTACTCTGAATTTGCGGTAGTCATACGGTAGCGGATTCACTTGAAGACAGCGGCTGTACACGAGAGGCACCGATCATTTTACCGATCGGACGGGAAAAGGGAGGGATCCGACAGAGCGAGAATCCTATTCCGCGAAGAACTATCAAAGGATTCGCTTGAGAAAAACAAACTTTCCTAGTGACGTCTGTTTATATGCGCATCGACCCGCCTGCTGGAGCATTTAATCAATCAGACGCGGGGTGTTGAGGCAGGGGGGCTCTGCGATGTTCCAAGGCAGCGAACGCGTCTTGAATATCCCGGAATAAGTCATATCGGCATACCGACGAAAAATCACTATTCGGGAAACGTCAGACCTTCGCGAGATCCGCGCAAGAATAAATAATACGCCATTTCTTGACATCTTCACAGATCAGTTGGAGTGCTGAGAAAATCATCCAGTCGCGTGTTCCATGGGCGTTGAAGATTCCAGGGTATTCGCGAGATGATTATTATTTCCCGACTAATTTTTTTTCGCGAGATTATCTGCGCCCGAATATTGAGGTCACGAACTTGGGCTTCGAGGGAAGCTTGCTGCGGGAGTATTGTGGAACCGAATTTGTTTGTGCTTCCGCGGAATTTCGAGGAGACGAAGCTCGACAATCGTGTTTTGTGTAGAAGAATCGAGCTCTGCACGATCGCCGATCGCACTACTGAAAGATCGTCCGTATTGAATGGCGCTTCTGTCACGGCTCCCGCCGTTCCTGAATCGGAAAGACGACGGATGGCTCGCGCTTTGCATTCACTGATTGAATTGAAATTCTTGGAATTGAATTCTTTCCAATTTCCTCTTCACACATTCCCCTCTCGGTACGCTGCGGTCCCACGCGAACATCATCCTCTGGACTCGTAGGGGAGTCCCGTTTCGGCATCGAGCTGACCTCAGAATCTTTCGATTTCAGGTGGTTGTGACAGCCCCGAAAGACCGACAGATTCACCTCCGAGTGGCGGTTCAGGAATGAGCAATCTGAAGTTGAAGAAACAGAGAAAAGCCCGAACCGCTTTCACAGATCATCAACTGCAGACACTCGAGAAGAGTTTCGAAAGGCAGAAATACCTGAGTGTACAAGATCGAATGGAACTCGCAGCTAAACTCAAACTCACAGACACTCAAGTGAAAACTTGGTATCAAAACAGACGGTGAGTTCCCATTCCCGGTTCGAAAAACTCCAGAGATTGGTTTTCCTCCTCCTCCAGCGTTGTTTTTTCAGTTCTTCCTCATTCAAGTAGAGAGCGAATCCGCGGAGTTCATTTCGTCGTTTTCATTTTCTTTTGATTCGTTTCTCGCTTGCGAGCAATCGAATAAGACCTGTCTCCGATTTTCTTCCAGAACCAAATGGAAACGCCAGACCGCCGTGGGTCTCGAGCTCTTGGCGGAAGCTGGAAACTACGCGGCTGTCCAGCGAATGCTCCAAACTGCGCCGTACTGGTTACAAAGTTACGCGGGAGTGAATCCCCAGAGCTCAATGAACGCCATGGCAGCTTTGGACGTGTTTTATCGTCAAGCCAGTCTACAGAAACCGATGGCTTACCGAATGCAACTCCCCGGCGGTCAGGGCGCTCCGCCCGCCGGAGGCCCGGTCCTTCCGACATGTCCGCCGACTTCTGGGACGACGACACCTCCGACATCAGCAAGCTCAATTCACGCCAAAATCGAAATGTCGTCGCCGACCATCGGCCTAGTTGGGCACACCTCTCTGACGCCATCACCTCTCGGATCACCGGAATCACCACTCCCGAGACCGCCGAGCGCGCCGTCGTCGAGCCGAGAAACACAGCAGTCGACGTAGACAGCAGACACCAAAGCAATTCTTCCTCGCTCCTCAATATTAGGAAACACTCGGCGATGCCCTCCCGGTCCGACCTCTGTCTTCAACAGACCATATCCTAGGACTGACACTCGACCTGCCGCGAAAGCGACCGAGACACAACGCCTGCGAATGCTCACGAAAACCCACAATGTTTCCGCAAAAAGCTCCTGCGACACCGGCAGGCGATTATACTACAAAGAATGAAGAGTACGGATGTATGAATGAATGAATGCACGGACGACCGATTGATTGAGTGAAGGATTGTACGTTGTACGGCTAGATTCATTCAGCATTATCATTTTCCCCCACCGTTCGATATCGTTCTGCGCGTGTTCGATGAAGCTTAGTAGGAACAGCATTACCATCAACGAAAAAATAATCTATCGAGACGACGGCTGTCTGCTGTACATAGACGACGATGACGCCAGCGAGCGAGGTCGAGGTAGACAGACTTTGAATGAGGAGCCGGAGACCCCAATTTTCTTTCAAACGCTTTCTAGATAGTGGTTCAATTCGAACACAAAAACCACAATATTGAAACGAACCGAGCAGCGCTCACAACATCGAACGAAAAAGGAAGAAGAAACCTTCTTCGGCGGCCGCGGCGACGGCACCGCCATCACCACCACCTGTAAATAGAGTGATTAGCAGAGGAAGAGGGGATTGCTTCGTCCGTCGGCGGTGACGTCAACAAGAAGGACAACACCATTTTAGTGAAATTCGTTTTCCTCACGGATAGTTGCGAACAAGTTTCGAGTCTGTCTGTTTGTTTGTTTGTAGATAAGAGAACGGAGATGATGATCGATCGAGAGAACAAGGCGATAATAATAATTATAAGATTATTGATAGAAATATTGGTAAGCCTGAGCAATGATCTACGAAGAGCATGCGCGCAGATGAGGGAAGCGGTCGACTCCCGGAGACTCACTCCATACGGGATCGATCAAGAAACTATGGAAGAGCGTTGGAAATTCCTTTTCGAGCTTTGAGCGACGGGTAATCCATCGGAAACCTTGATCATATATCGAAGCGACTCAAAACTAGAGACCTAAAGCCCCAGGGGACAAACTCCACCAGATGGAGGACATATAAGTTCTCCGATGCAATAAAGTTTACCCGAGAGATCGAATGGAGTCGTTCCTTGTTTTTCGTCAAAATATAGTCGGTAGTTCTGTTGGGAGAACCGATGAGAGGATCATAAAAAGGCCTGAATCATGGCCACTAGGTGGGCTGCATGACCATTTGGCGGCGTCTTTCGAAAGAACAGGAACAAAACGGGGGCAAGGAGACCACATATGCACAAGCTGTCTGTTTCTCATCATCGCCATCGTGTAGAACCGTCCGCAAGAGTGACGGAGATGATGATGACAGCAATGCAAAATTAACTTCATCGTGGAAGCCGCAAAGAAAGCCGTAGCAAATCGTTGACAACAACCGGTGCCCGCAAACCGCGGAAGAATTGTAATTGCAGAGCCGAGAGGTTAAATTTGAAGAGAAGAATACCTACTACACAGTTTCTTCAAATCGGTGATTTCCTTATCACGTCCACGTACTGGGTCCGCGAGCGACTTGCATTCCCCTCTCTCAGGGCACCCATCGGTCGTCATAGACCGATGTCGTCGCTTTGTCGTTCTGCTGCTCGTGTTGTCGCCGTCATAAGAGGCAGCAACGAGACCGTACGACCACGAATTATAATCGGATAAGACGGCCAGCGGGAACTTGCGCGCTTTCGGCCATGCAGTCCGTCGATGCCGATGGTCGATTCCCCGAGACTCAGGCGCCATCTATCGGCATTCGGAGGAAACATTGCCTTGATCGCCGTTTCGTTCATAATGATTACAGTCGGCAAAGCACACACAGACACATCGGCAGTCGAGCGACGACTCCGAGCTGCTGTTGAGCCCTTTCCTTAGCCACCGGCAGCGGCGGCGCCAGAGAGGTAGTCGACGTCCGTCCCTATTTTTATTTTCTCCGGTCAGCAGCGCTTTAGGGCGCGCTGTTTATGAAGAAAATACACATTTAGTTCGCGGCTACGAATGAAGGGACCAAGACGGGACGAATGGCGGTTGGTTGGCTGCTGGACGATGCGCCGAACGGCCACCTACTTGCAGCGGGGGAAGCGTTTTTTTAGTGGATAGACGATGGGTGATCACAGACGCAGCAAGAGACGAATGCTTGACCATCATCATGAACATTGTGATCGCGCATTGATGGCGGCGATTTCAGATCGTGACCCGTGAAGTGGCTATATATGCAGCGTATGGCTCATTGTTGGGTCAACCCAAAAGCTCGCTGCGGAAGACGGTGTCGTAGCGAGCGCCGGAGACGGAGTCCCTTGTCGTAATTCGGCTTTGAGAACCATTGCATCGTTTGACCGGATGGAGGAGAATCCGACCCGCGAAAGATATTCCATATCGGCTATAATTGCCTGTAGGGAGTAAGGAAGGAAGAAGGAAGGGAAATGATTCCATCTGGTCGGCTCGCTTAACACACTTGGAATCGTCCGCTTCTGAAGGGACCTCCTCGGACGTATCGCCCCGAGATTTTTCTCGAGTCCCCAGCTCACGGCCCGATCGAATAAAGATTCCGCGCTCTCAATCATCGCGAATATTAAAGCAAAATAGTCCCTCTAACCGTTTGCCATTGAGAACAATGATTGGAGAATCGCCCAAGGCGATGCCATGACGGTGGTCTGGAAGACATTCGAACACTGAGCGTCTGATCCAAGGACTCGCTGGCGATTTCCACCTATCGTCCCGCACTCGTTGGCTGGATCCTTGGATTGCTTAGCCGCATTGAGCTTGGTCCTTACTTGCTTGTCATGTGCCTGCTTGCCCCGCACGCCTCCATTCGTGCTTCCACTGCTCGTATGGTCGGTCTATCTAATGCGATAACTCGTGTCTCTTTTCGGTCGAAGGAGCACAGCTTGAAATTACATCTCCTACTCCCTCAGCCATTCCTCAGAGCCGCTGTCCTCCCTTTTCTCTTTCCTCTCCCTCCTCGTCGTCGTCTTCGTGGCCAACGTCCTACAGGCTGCCAACTCCGACAGGGTCGAGTCTCCCTAAGTGCTTTCTTCGCGGGTGAGAGCCGAGCCACTAACAAGCCATTTGGATGGATTTGCATTTTTCATCGCCCGTTCAGTCGCTTTGTTCTCATACCCTTCGAGTTTTCCCAGTCGCTCCATCCTGTTTATCTCGTATGCGAACTTGGATGAGTGTCTTGTGTTACGATGACGTGTGAAAATTTACGGGATATTCGACTAGTATTTTCTCTGCGAACGGGCATCGATTCGCGACTGCCATAAACAGGGAATGAGCTGCGGCTCCTAATTCGAGAATATGAGCTGAAGTCCGGAATACCCTGTCTTTCCGGGGTACGGCCTGGGCCGGGGAAAGAATTAGTTCCCTTTGCCCAGGGAGCAATCGCCTCCACCCGAGTTCTGAATAGCTGGCCGCCACGTTTCACTCTCTTGAGACCGGTGACGATCTAGACGAGCAGCCAACGAAGCAAGCCACCCTGGCTAGCCTGAATAAAATTAGTTCCTCATTAAATCTCTGAAAGCAGCTCTCTCACTCACTCAGATGAATATAAGTGCTTTGGTCAGACTCCCTCGGTCCCCTGCTCGTTTCGTTCGCTCGACCAACCGATGCAGGTCTCGTTTTCGTCGTCCTCCCGCCCGATCGACATCGTTCTCGGTGCAGCTCTCGTTCCGTCTCTCTTCTTCCTCGTCATCATCTCTGCCCTCATCGTCAGCTTCTTCGTCGTCGTCCTCGCCGCGGTCGTCGTTCAGGGCTGACACCTGCGGAGTGTGCAGAGAGCGAGAACTTGACCAAATCTGCACCGAATTTGATTTGCTAGCGCCGGCCGGGAATCGAAACCAAATCGGAAGCGAATGATGAATGCTTTCGCTCTCGGCCTGTTAGTCTCAATGGTGGATAGCTGCTCCACAGAAACTCGGTTGCCTTCTTCGAAGCACTCCGGCAGCATCGGAAATTTTTTTTGCGGGCTGGCGATTTGGAAAATAAGGAACAATTTATTCTCGCAAACGGAAACCTTAAGTTTAGACTCCGGTCTGACAGAGACGCAATGTTCAAGAGGATTCCGGGCTTTGGTCCGCAATCTCACACGATGCACGAGTCGAGAGAGGATGCGAAGTGCGATCCGTGTTTCAGTACAAAGGTGCCAGGTAGTCGTGCGGATCCGCTGACGGCAGGTGGAAAGATCACACTGTGAACACGTAATGTTACATTTTCGGAAAACGTGTTTGATGAACGCGCGCATCGATCTGAAAGAGAAAATTGGAATAAATGATTCAACAAACATCGGGGAAGACGAAACAGCAGCAGCCGCGAAAGATTGGAGACTTGGTTGGCGTCACGGAGTCACGACGTTTTTGTGTCCATGTCGCGAAGAATCAAGTCAACCCGGCCGCGACCGAGAGTTGAAGGGAGGGGAGAGATCACGGACCGAGGTCCTCGACGGATGATCGAACGTTTTATATTGACACAAACACAATGATGAGATCAGCAGCCGCAGTAGCAGTTACAGCAAAGAAAGCAACGATGGTCAAAAACTGAAACAACATCAAAGCCCTGAAAGAGAAGTCCCAGCCGACAACAGTCATGATCGTCTCAAGCGGTCGCAGCCATAGGCCGCCCGGCCGCTGTGGCCCAGTGGCCGACGTCCACTGGCGGAAGGAACAAATAGCCAGTACTAAGCAGACGGCCGCGGCGCCATCGGCTGGCTAGATACGGAACGAAATCAAACTGAATTTGCAAAAAGGACTTCGGACCGAATTCGAAGCGAATTCGTCCGAGTCATCCCCGACGGAACAGCGGTCACGACAGCAATCGCTGTATGACCACATGGCGAGTGACTGACTGGCTGACTGACTGCAAGTCGGTCTTTGAAAAATCAAAGAGAAAACGGATGCTGCATAATGATGATATTATTGCTGCCTTAGCTCGGTGTGGCTTACGCGTTCTCGAACAAAAGAAGATCGACCGAGGACAAAGATTCTGTTCAGAAGAAGCCGTAGCGTACGAGAGCTCAAAACAGCAAATAAAGTATTGGGCTTGTCGAAGCCAGTGGACTGAGTTTAGAAACGAAAAAACTCACATTACTCCTGGAAATCTTTTCTCCTCGATCCTCGACTCCGCGGAAGCCGGCGCCCGAGCCGGGTGAGGGATCGAGCTCTTTCTCGGCCTTTTCTCTTGTGCGATCAGTTCGAGACGGAGTGAGAACAATTCCCGCCAGGATTTCCATGAACGATATGAGAATACAACATGGACCTCGCGGGAATATGAATTCTTGCCCGAGCTTTCGTCCCGCCTCACCAGCAAAAGCGGTAATCAGGATTCGGCTAGCAAATCTCT